AACAAGTTCTATTCAAGACTGAAATTCTTATTTGCAAAAAGTTTTCTTTATCTCTCTTCATTAGAATCTACAATAGTTTTTAGAAAAAACGTTTTCAAGATCCATATTTTAAATAATACCTATTAAAAGGTTTTACAACTTTCCCAATCCCTGATTCAAAATTCATTTGTTTGTAGCTTTTCCTATTGTTTTCCATTTCAGAAGCTTTAGCATCACTGGACTTAGTATCTCGTCGCAAGATTATGTTCGATTGTAAACTTACTGTCAGTTTCACGAGCAACTTTAACATTTTATCCGCGATCAGAGCACGGAAGTGTCGTTCGCATCGATTCCACTGATCGATTTTCATTGAACAATATCAACGTCCGAGGACAAACAGGTGCGACCGAGACAGATCTCGTTTCGCATCGAGATGCAGAATCCGTATCCGTCGTTGTGAGAATACCCGTGGGCGTTTATATCGACTATACACCTGCGACTATTTTATGTCTTCCCTGGAAAGGTTGGACGATAAATTCCAGTCGGCCTATCCGGTCCGTCGATCCTCTGACTGCTGATCAGAAAGATCAGTAGCGTAGAAAGCGAAACGGCGAAGGAAACTTGATTATTCATACCTGTGTTTGTGACACCAAAAGTGTGACAAAGTGACCGATCATTTCGAAAAGTTCCCTGTTGAGGCGATCTATCTCGATATTTCGAGACAGATCGTGATATGGAGATTTTTAGTGAAACTGTATTCATTCGAACTCATCGCTGAACAAACAGCTCGTATAATTGAAGTTCGTAAAATAGAAGTTCATCGATTGAACCATAGATAAAGGTCGAACGAGATAAATTTGATTTTTGAAAAATAAAAAGGTGTGTATTTGAATTTTATGCTGATATATAGGCTATTTATTTAATAAGATTTGACATCTTGAACTGTTCCCGTTGTCTTTTGAAATATGTAAGGAAAAATGTTAACGAAAGTTGTTCAATACGGAGGGAATTGTAATCACACGTTTATTTTTCTTCGAGGGATTATATCACAGAAGAACTAATTAATTCATGAAGAAATTATAAAAATTTTCCAAGTAAAACCAAATAATTTTCATTCGAATAATTTACATCGAAATACAGATCATGTTGTGATCACTTTAGCTTCTAACCGGCAAAACGTGTTACCATTGATATAAAATAAAATATATAACTTAAATAAATCAATTTAATAAACTCAACTCTCCCCATTTATAGGAATCTTAAAAAATATACAAAATGTCCAAAGTATAATACTATCTGTAACATTCAATTTTCTATCTAAAATTCCATTCTTCGCGTTACACTTTCAAAACTAATGTACAATCTATTTATCCTACATCAACATTCGTTCAGCAGACACCAGATCAGTTAAGCAGACCGTGAACTACCATTTAACTTCGAGAAACGTAGTGCCACTATAATCAGAGAGTCGAAGACGGGCAACGGAGACCCACAAATAGCACGTCCCTTACGAGAATTAGAACTCGAAGGCGTTCGTCCTTTGGATGAAGCAGCCAAGTAAACCGTGCGTCGTTCATTATTCATTCAACGGATGCGGTGATCGCATCCACGCCACGTCGACCAACAGGATACGCGTTCTAGCGCTCAGGTGACGCGATAGCAAAACACCTGTTTGTCGCGGCTGTTTTATTCTGGAAATTTGCAGAATGAACGCGATCGCATTGGCTGAGATGTAACGCGGGCCCCTCGATCCGCCGTCCTGGACTCGGCTGCTTGCTCTCCGTGATTCGTGTTCAAATGAGAGTTGCCGCACGCGCACGCGGATTCTATCGAGAGTCGTCGTCCCTTCGCGCGAAGTTTACGACGAAAAAAGGGAACGAAGGATGGGAAGGAAAACGAGGAATAAGCCCGCACCGGAAGTGGCAGGCAGGCGCAAAGTGTACATGCGAAATCGGCTGGAGAACGAGCAGCCGATCGGCAGATATTTCCGTCGCGTTGCGTTTTTTGCGCGGGTTCCGCCATTTTTGCGGCGAACGTCGCATCCGTCGGGGCTCAGCCGTGAGGTGTAAAATTATTTGCGCGGTCTCGGAATCATTCCGAGAAGGCATCTTGAATTAAACATCGCTATCCACGTGCCTCACTGTCTCTTCGCCCTTGGCGACGATTTCTATTGAATCGTAGATCATCTGCCGGATCCAGCCGCGAATTAGAGAATCAGTAGAGGAGCTAGAGCGATCGTACGTGCCCCCGATGGCAAGCGACCCTCTAATTTCTTCCAGGTAAAACCGGTCGCGCGTCCGAGGCGCGCCGTTTCCCCGAATAGAAATCAGACTTGTCGATGACTCGACGAATTTTTTTCAAGTTTTTCGACGCTCGAAAAGAAATATCAAAAATGCTGGAAAGTTTCCGAAAGATATGAAGGAGTTTTGCAAGTGCGGCAAGTTCTCCGTCATGAAGAAATTTTACATCAATGTTTGAAGTGAATTTTATATTGCACATTGCATAGTGATCTATCTCAGTTTCTCGTGCAATGACACTTTGCTCGAAATTTCCCACTTCGAAGTTCTATCCGCGTCAATTCAAATTCACATCGTCAAATTCGAATTCAAATTGGCATTCAAATTGGAGTTTTCCTTTGGCTCTGTTCGTATATTCAGAACTCACGTTCACAATTTCGTCAATTGAAATTCACGTCGTCAAATTCAAAGGCGAAATCGCATTTACATTGTTGTATCCTTCTCCTTGATTGTTTCTCATTTCTCATATTTTTTACATTTGGTGTTTTCTATTTTCTATGTTTTTACTTCGTACTTGCCGTTTCATATGTATTTTTCATATACTAATAATAGGAATTCTTTTCCAGCCATAGATAAATAAATAAATATTTCTATAGATCCAAATAATTAAAAATTCCAAAGTAATAAATAAATAAATATTTCCCAAATAACTAAAAATTATACCAACGATAAATAAATACTACAAAGTTGATCGAAAATTCTAAACTCCTTAAATAAAATAAATATTTCTAATAAAAAAAAAAAGATTTAAAATTCTGTCATCTTTACTTTTCTTTGTCCATAATTTTCGTTCAAACCTTTCCTCGCCTCTTCGAATTCGATGACGTTTTTCTTCCAAATTCCGACGACCGCGCGACGAGCTCACAAATTTTTTTACACTCTGACAGTCGTACGTCTTCGCGCGTCGTTGGCCGCCGCGATAGTCAAACGCGAGCGAGACGAAAACCCACCGCAGAAACGATACGATTGTCTCACGTTTCGGCAGTTGCCGCACGTGAGCAGACGAGACGTGCTCGATTCAGTATGCCACTGCGCAGCACGTGTAATGCCCGTACACCGCGGGTTCATCTTGATTCCGTGCGTGCGAGCTGTTCACGAAAACAGGAGTCATAGACAGGAGGCTACGCCTCCTGAGAACCGAGAGTCAGCCATCGTCTGGCACGATGATTTTGCGACAAATAAGTAAACGACGGCCGGCATACTCGATCGAGAATGAGGCGGCTCACCAAATTGGAATAAAATTGAAAAAGATACGGCACGTCGATGGACACGTTTTCTTTCTTTTCTTTTTCGTTTCGTAGCTTTCCTTTCTGTCTTCTTGCGCTTCTTTTTTCTTCCCGCTTGGCCGAGGATGGAAGTTTTATATTCAGTTTTCATCATCTTCTTGAGAACTTCATGCGAATGCTGTCTGGGTTCCCTTTATGCATTATTCGTATAACCCGGGGGCGGGTTAGCGTGATATTTCGTGAAAAAAGGATTAGACATGTCGGAGGAGTTTCGGGTGGAGATACGATTTACGGGATTAGGACACTATGTGTTTTAATCTGCTGTACCTACGATAAGTATGCCCGTCGTGAAAGAATTTGCAACTTCTTGTTACGGCGAGCATACGAAAAATGTAATTACTACGTGCCGTTTGAATTGGAATTTTTGTATGACTGAAACGTGGTTGTAAATTTTAAACGTTTTAGGGTGTATTGAAGTAATAATGAAGAAAGAATAAAACTCACTTGAAAAAGTAACTGTATACATACAGTAAATTGGTGCAGTGCGTAAAATCCTCGAAATGTTTTAGTATAGAATCTTTAGAATATAATATAAATATATTTTTTATTATGTATTTATGTTATATATTAATTTGTAGAAAGTGTATGAATGTTTATGCCCAGTAATTGCGTAACAATTTCTTGGCAATTTTTGTTATTATTAGAACGAAACAAGAACAGATTAAATTTCTGATTTATCATTTCTTTCTTATTTATTTTTTTTTTTTAGTAAAAAAATTACGAACCTTTAAATTTTGTTAATAACATTAATAATCTTGAGCAATAAAATTATTAATTTTTCGGGGAAAAAGACGACCTTACTGTTTCATTGTAATTTAATTCAATTTTACAACATACATGCATACTGCGTTTGATAAATGCGATCGTTTTATTTTTGACACGTGTAGTGCGAGATGTATCATTTTTGCGATGTAGACGATATGAATAAAAGATAGATGGAAATCTTTTAAAATGATAGCAATGAAAGAACAAAAGAAAATTTAAAACAAGCAAATAATACAAGATAATCCCTAATTTTCTGAAATATAATTATGTTTAACAAGAACAATAGATAACTGTTAATAAAAGTTATTAATTCTCGTATAGACAAATAGACAAATATCAGTTATAAACTTCCTTTCGGCTGTCAATGCACTATTTATTAAAGAGTCGGCGATTCATCAAGTATGAATGTTCTAATAATAATCGTCCTTCCCATTGATTTCAATGCTTCTGAGCTTCCTGCCATTGCCACTTTTTCCGCTTCGTCATCTCTGATACCAATAACCGAATATTCATACTGCGGGCTTACGTCGAAACCTTCCGTCGTGCCATTACCATTTTGACCCAAATTGAGGTCCCCCGACCAATTGTTAATTAGCCGAACGAAAAACGGTATCATCCGGTTCCGCTCGAGAATCATTCGGAATTATTATAAGCTCGAAGGTTTACATATTTTTGTACCATTTTGAAGTTAATAAATATAATTATAAATAAAATATGATATAATATGAATACCTATTAAAATAGAATAAATATGCTGTATAAAAATTTTAGAGGAAATGTTTCGTTTTCATGAATCAGTGAAAAAGATATACTTTTAATTATTTTCAGTTGTTAGTTATTAAGAACTATATAATTCAAGAATACCGGTCAATTTCAAGTAATCAATATCCTGATGATTTCCTTCATAATAAGAACTCTTTCAAGAATTTTATCGAATAATTTTCCAATAAACTCGCTTCAGATTCTGTTGTTTTAATATTTATTTCGGATACAAGATTAATGAACCTAAAATTACTCAATTCCTCCTCAGCACTCCCTTCCCTTAGACGGTTCATATTTAATTGAAACATTTTTAAATAAATTAAAATCAAGGAAACTAAGTTTCTCTAGAAAATTTTGAACCAAGAAAAAGCTACGTATATTACCAAGGCATTAACGATACACTGTAAAAAAGAAAAAAAATTTAGATATTCATCCTGTGAAAATATTTCTTAAAAATATGATTAGCTGACATAGATCATTATCG